AAAGCGACCCTGATGGTTTCTTCCAGAGGGTGGAGGAGGGGTCCGTTATCAGGGATAGCGCACATCAGGTAATTCCAGCAATGCTTGACTCCATGAGTGAATGCCGCAAAAGCAGCATGTGGCTCAGTTTTAGTGATCTCCGGTTGAGCTTGAATTTCTTTCATACACTCAATTTACCTTTCCCGTTACATAGTCGGTCTTGAAATCGTTTGTGCCGATTACTGCACCTAAATGTTTTTGGTTATCCTTTGTTATTTTGACCTCACTTCCACCGAACACCTCCATTGCCTGTTCATAGTGTTCTGGCTTCACAATGAGGAAGGACTTGCTGGCATTTGGGTGGTACTTTATTTGTGGACCTCGTGATGTTACCAGGTTCCACCACTTTTCGATGTCCTCCACCTTTCCTGCTCCAGTAAGGTCGTCAGCATATGCCACTCGCTTGACATTGGTTGTTTCACAGTTTATTGTGTGTTGGAACACGGATAGACCTATTGTGGACATTTCCATAGCAACAGGATCCCCCTGCTTAGTTCCCTCAGCTGACTGTATGGTGGTATCTCCTCTTTGAGCCTTAAAGCTTGTTATATAGAGGTCTGTCGGGTCCCTGTAGGTGTTTTCAACATACATTGCAAAGCTTGGACAGTTGATCTGGATGTTGTGCAGTTTAGCCTTGCGGTTGATTATGTGATTGTGTTGGAGGCGTCAACCTGGAGTACTGCCTCACAACCACGCTGCTTAAATACCTTTCTCGTGGTGTGAATGGCAGTTTCACCCCTACCTGGTGGCCAGCACACTCCTGCAGGTTCCCTGCAGCTGCTCTTACATCATCAATGGGTGATGGCAGCATTAGGTTGCTAGCTTTCTTGCAAGGGCGGAGGTGGCATTGCAGAGATCACTTACTGCTTCGCCAAACTTGTTAGTGCGGAGGATGATTCTCCACCCATCTGTATCCAGGCCTGAAGGGCCAGCCCCTCCCTGTGTTTTCAGTGCTTTTTTCCACACCGTACCTCTTGTTATTTTCTCGAATATGACTGAATTTGGAGGGATATAGTAATCCGGAAACCTGATGCCTTCCTCTGCACTTGCAGGGGGATGTTTTTCCTTCAGTTGTTTTAAGGTCTCTGTTTATTGGCAGAACACCACCGGAGGATTCCTCTGTGAGAGATCTTACTACCAAAGACACTTTTCCCACACGCATTTTGTTACCTAACATTCTGGAAACATCCTCAGTGGCTTGCTTTCCGTTTCCTGTAGATTTCAGTCTCTTCTGCAGTGTTCTTACTTCACTTAGGAGATCATCAAGAGCCCGTTCTGCCACGTTGTCTGTCTTCTCTTCATTGCAGCCACATTTTCCTTACACTTACTCCTTGCGTGTGTTCTCTGGCAGAATAGATGAGGTATTATTGCCAGTATGTGGAGAGTTATTGGGGCCAGGGTGCTGTCGTGAGTGGAATATTGTGTGAGGCGAGTCATCTCCCGGATTATTTCTCTGGTGGCCCAACATTTTGGTGGTTGAAAGAGGTTAATGGAGACCACCTGACAATTTCTCAGTAGGTTTCTTTGACCCATTTCTCTGCATCTTCCCTCGACATGCCTTTCCAATGTGATGGTTGTCTGTCATTCACCTCGTGCTCTTCTGCTAATGTTGGAGCAGCATTTCTTGGCACTACATTTCCAGACTGAGTGGACTCGCTGCAATCATTCAGGATATCGTCAGGAGGTATTTTCAGGGCGATATCCTCTGCCCAGGGGATTCTGACAGTTGTTCCCCTTCCTGCATCCCACACATTAGCGGTTGTTTCTCACACTTTCACAGTTTGTGCAATTTTGGTTCGGGCTAGAACAGATGCAATGACAGTTACCCAGCATAATGCTCCACTCGTCGAACAACAGGAGAAATTAGTGACTTGGATCTCCACTGTATCTGGTGAGTAGGGTCAGTTATGACCCCTACCACACTACTACTGCTATTTTTTTATCTCGTGTGGCCTCCAACCTCCTCTTTTAGCCAAACCTTCCCAACCATTTTAGTACCTAAATATCCTAATCAAAAAGAAACTACCGTAGCTGACTTAGTTAAGCCGCACACCTATGCAGCATTCAGAGACTGCTGCCTAATAGTCAATACCCGCGACCTTTGTCGGCTTTGGGCCGAAGATCTCGTTCCCCTGAGGCAAAGCAATGTAGACCTAAGCGGAGAGAAGGACAGTCGACATCTCAACCAGGCTGCGATGTAACTTCTTTTGTTCAGATAACACATCGGCCAGTCTTGCCTAGAAACATCTTGCACTGGTCCCATTCCACCAGAGATTGTGAACACCAGGATGAAGCTGCCTTGATCCACATTCTGAATTCTCTTAATATACTCCCTGTTCTTGTCATTCTCGTTCCTCTTGTGTGCAGCCTCAAGAGACAGGTTACGGTGAAATGCGGCCATGGGGTCGAATATCTTGACACCAAAGAAAACTTACTGTCCCTGCGTCCAGCATCCTCGCTAATGCCCACCTGGCCTTCATTAGATGTCCTGTAATGAAGATTCTCACTGTCTAATGGAAGGTGGGTTGGTTCCACAGTGACATATGGTAAATTTTCTTCACTATATTCGTCATGCTTCAAACATGCGAAACCACCCTTCTTTCACACTATTATTACTAGTACAACTACTACTACTACTAAAGACCATTAACCACTTTAGCCACCGTACTTGCCACTTACCTTAGTGGAGGGAGGCACAGGGTCATGGGTCATGAGTTGAGCGATGCAGGGTCTGGTGGGGTCGTTCCCCAGGACCCACATCTTCTTCAGTGTGCCATGAGGGAAGAGAGAGAAGGCCGCCTCAGTTGCCGGGGCCACGTCAGGGTGTACCACGGCCCATCGCGCCTCACTCACATTCAACACGTGCACCAGCTCCTCTGATGAAGGTACACCATGTGATTCTGTATCTCTCTCTATCGCATCTCTATCTCCATCACTGTCCCTCATAATGCCACTGGCCAGACTTTATCTTAGATTGGAGGCGCTTTGTGAGTTGGATGGGAATATTCTATTTTGTAATCTGTATTAAGTATTAAAAGTATAACTATGCAAGAAATGTTAGCATTAAGAGATGGAGGTGGATTGCTTATTTAACATCTCTCTTCTGGCTACTATTGAAAAGTTCTTAGAGCCATTCCAGTAATATTAATACGATGTAAACAAACACAGTTGCCACATGTCACAAAATGCGTCAACCACTGTACCAGCTGGAGCTGAGGCCGACTGTGCATGCCCGAGGTACACACCTGGACTAAGGGAGGGGTTTACGGGCACACAGACAGCCCCGCAGTGAAGTATTGACAACAATATCAGTGGGAAGTCCATGTGTGTTGGCATGAGAAGGAGCACCACCTCTCCCCGTGTCACTCCTGCCTTCGCCAGTCCACCAGACACCCGCGGCACAGCACTACATAGCTCCGAATACTTCCAGTGCTGACGTGTGTCAGCATCCTCCTGAAACAGTAACATAGGAACACACAGATACACAGTGTCTCTGTGCGTCACTACACCTGAATTACCCCCTTGTTTGTGAGACTCCCTGTATGGCAATGACTGAATAGACATCTGCTTTATTTTAAAGCCTGTATCTATATTTTATACCTGAACCTATGCTTGGACATTACACCTATACAGTACAGTATATGTAAATTTTTGTATACCTGTACTATATATGTGCAGTACAATCGTTACATACATGAAACATCTCTGCTCTATGTACAAGGTTTATATTCTAGCACTGTCTTTATACATTGTGTTTGCAACTATACTGTCTATATATGAAGTCGCGGATAAGATAAATCCTTATAAAATCACACAGGAAAAAGGGAAACAATGGAGCACCTTAGCTTTGGTCTTTATTCAAGACTTCTTCAGAGGCAATTGAATTACCTGGACCGAGAGAGGCTTAAATATACAGGGTGACCTTATTAAACAATAGGTCAGGTCATAATCATGATATCCACTAATCCGCACACCAACACCAACACACACGTAGAGGAGCTTAAGAGAAAGGGCGACGTGACTAGTCAAGTTAAGTTAGGTAAAAAATATGGGACCCACTAAATATCTATCCTACATATAACTTCAAGGTTTCCAAAGCATTTTTAACCTTGGGCCACTGACAAATAAATTTGTGTAACATATCAGTTTTGTATTGACCATCACTACGGTGTATGGAATTTAATTCCCTAATCAAATTCGCTTCAACCAAAAGTCTTTCTGTGACACATGATGATTTGTACACTTATAAGCTGTTTTCCCAATCCATGCGATGATTATTATTCTTAACATTAACGAACAGTGCACTGCTTTCAGATGCAATTCTGATATTGTACCTGTGCTGTTTAATTCTGAGTTGCAATGCTTTCCCAGTCTGTCCTACATTGTGGATCTACATGATATATATATATATATATATATATATATATATATATATATATATATATATATATATATATATATATATATATATATATATATATATATATATATATATATATATATATATGTAACCGGTCGGGATTTGCTGGACTTTAATTTCTCACTTGACTTGGGGTTTATTAAAATTTAATAGATGGTAAAGGCAGTGGAAGCGCCCCTTTGAGAAAAATCCCGAACCAGCACAAGAACACTTAAATCTACTACACAAAATGAACTGTCCGTGACCCGTGGAAGGATAGCGTCTGTGACTGGGATGAATGAGACACACTGTAAAATTTAGACACTTATATTCCCTCCAACACTACAAACACAATCAAATAATGGTACACCAATATGCGCACCTCTTAACTTAAACTTTAAACACTACTCGGGGGAATAAAAGTTATACATGACATAGAAATTATTAGAAACACAGGCAACAATAAATTTGAAGTATTAAGAAATGTTGCTTGCACACATGAACAGGCCTTAAGGCTTTCACAAAATAATATCAGTCACTTAGGAAATGGTACTAAAAAATTAGAAATTAAGTACTCCACAATGAATAGGCCTTAAGGGTTTTCAACAAAATAATATCAGTCACTGAGGAATGGTAATAAAAAATAAGAAATTAAATACTCTACAATGAATAGGCCTTAAGGGCTTTCAGCAAAATAATATCAGTCACTGAGGAAATGGTAATAAAATTTAAGAAATTAAATACTCTACAATGAATAGGCCTTAAGGGCACTCAACAAAATTATAGCACCATAACAGATGTACACTTCCTAACCTAACCTAACCACTACTCTGGGGAACAAGGTTATACCTGAGATCAGAATTATGAAGAACAATTAGAGGCATTAAAAGAATCAAATCACAGTATCACTCTGGTTCCACTTAATGGCACAAACATTCAAAACAATATTATCAAAATTATTTAGAAACTATTAAACTACAGGAACAAGGTTATACCTGAGAATTAAGAATTATGAAAAAGAACCAAATTAGAAGAGCATTAAAAATCAAATCAAATATCCTCTGGTTCCACTTAATAGCTGTATTAAACAATATTATCAAATTATTTAAACTATTAAACTACACCGTCAGAATAATATCAGTCTACAGGGGAATAGTTATTACTTCCACACCACGTGGGGGAGGGAAAATAGGCCTCCTCTAAGTATCTCCTGGGGACCTAGACTCTAAGTCTCCAGTCAAGCCATTAGTTTACTCAGAATAGCCTCAGTATTTTCTTAGTCGTCCACCATAAAGCGGAAGGGTGAGCCAATCAGACATGGCACGATTTGGAAGACTTTTAACTTCCACATTAGCAAGAGGTTTTCCTTCTTTCGGGACATGTGGGGTTATGCACCGGAGTGGTAAGAACGATCACCCTGCTGATGCTGGTCCACGTGTCGTTTTTAGTTGTCGGGAGCACTAGATTCACTCAAAGATCCTTTGCTACCCGCTAAACAGTGACAGGCCTACTGGTCCGGTCCCAATGGCGACAATCGCCACCCTCATCATCAACAGCAGTCTCCAAACGGCAGTCAATCTCTCGCAGTCACTCCAGTCCGCTCCAGTCAAAACCAGGTTCTGGCGGAAGCCCCTGAAATGAACTCACTGGCCAGCTAAGTTTACTTTATCACTGCCCTATCTAACCCTGTCTGAGATCGAATACGAATACCTTGTTATACTGCAATAGCGCAGCACGGTGACTAGGCCGCGTGACTATTTCTGTGATGGACGCGCAGGAACATCTTGTCTGTGTGAGATGCTCTCTGGGACTGGGGGCCTAACCAGTAGCGTCTCCTCAAAAGCGTAAGCTTAGGTCCTAAATGACATATTTTCCGCCTAACTAATATCGCCAGGACACCCGTAACATTATTCAGACTGCTAAACAGTCTATAATAATTTTCAAATTCAATAATAGTCCATAACTTCATATATTCCGACCGGTTACATATATATATATATATATATATATATATATATATATATATATATATATATATATATATATATATATATATATATATATATATATATATATATTGTGTTTATAACTACTACACTGTCTATATATATTGTGTTAATAACTACACCTCTAGATTCATATTTTATATAGTTGCACTGTCTTTTTATGCGGCATCAGGTGAACTTAGGCCATGGGCGACACTGGCCCCTGCATTTTATAGGACTTTACTATTACAATTTTCTCGTTAACGTAAAAGACGTACACTATTATTGCCTCCGTAAACATACAGTAGTAGCGACAGTTGAGTCATCCAGACGCAATATTCCTCCACAATATCAACATAGTGTAATAGAGCGAACCTTCCCTGACAACTGAGGAAGTTAAAGCAAATGTCGTCCGTCACTGACCTCAAGGTACCGAGGCTCATGATTGGTCAATATGATTACGAGGGCTTCATCTTTTAATCTGTTTTTGGTCAATTCCCGACCTTACCCCAGGACAGGTAACAAGGTAGGCAGCAACAAGAGTTAAGACCTACTAACCAATGTTCTATATCACCTCAGTTGAACCCGGACTATATCAGCAGGTATACGCTGGGTTCCGGAGAAGCTCAGGACCTCCGTGAGTCCAGGTTCCCAATGAAGCCGGGTTCTCTAAGAGGACGGGTTCTCTAGAGGCCGGGCTCTCCACGAGGCCAGGTTGGATGGGCCGAGTTCACTTATCGTGCGCACATTTTGTATACCGAGGTCTGATCTATGTACAGTACATTGCTTTTATAATTACCTGCATAGTTAGTCTCTGTACTTGCTGATTCTATATGAACTTGCGACAACTTTACTGAATATCAACCATCCATCCATCCATCCATCACCAGTTACAACCAAAATTATCACTGGATTCTTGGGACTGACCACAGCCACAGCTTCGCCGTGAGCAGCCATCGACTCAGCACGAAGACAGCGTAGTTAACGTTGGGGATGAGGCAGAGGTCCCGGTCCATCCCACTCAAGTATACGAGGCTCGTGCTCCTCCTACCATCCTGCTGCTGCTGCTGTTGTCCACTCATCTACTGGATCTGATAATAATTATCCTTTATTGAGAGAAAAATACAGACAAGAAAATGACCGTTTGAAGTTCAACTAGAAATATAAATGAGAACGATTTCTTCATATTCTAGACAGGGCGTTAACGTTAGTCAGGCGAGATGTTTTAGAAGTTAAAAAAGTGTAATACCTAACTAGTGGAAAAACACATCACACAACTGTAGTTTTTAGTTATGGGAACTTGAAACTCTTGATAGATAAAGAAACGGTGCTTAATTCTAGCCAACTATTTGTCATGGTAGACTTTAATTATAGCGACATAGACTGGAGGACTGAAATCACACCAAGTGAAGTTAATAATTCTACAACTCTTTTTGTGGGAACTCTGAGAGACAGTTTGCTATTCTAACATGTTAAAGATCCGACTCACTGTAAAGGTGAACAAATACCCAAACAGGTGGACCTCATCATCACTAACTCGGAGAGTGTGGTGGCCAAGTTGGAACATTTATCTCCCGTTAGCACTGCCATCACGAGGATCACCAAGAAGCGTTTATACATGGTTGTTATAATCATGCTCGTGGTTGTTATAATCATGGTCGTGGTTGTTATAACTGGCGGTCGTAGTTGTTTTAATCTGGTCGCGGGATGTTATAATCATGGTCGTGGTTAGTTTAATCTGGTCGTGGTTGTTATAATCATGGTCGGTTGTTATAATCATGGTCGTGGTTGTTATAATCATGGTCGTGGTTGTTATAATCATAGTCGTGGTTGTTTTAATCTTGGTCGTGGTTGTTATAATCATGATCCTGGTTGTTAAAATCATAGTCGTGGTTGTTTTAATCTTGGTCGCGGTTGTTATAATCATGATCCTGGTTGTTATAATCATAGTCGTGGTTGTTTTAATCTTGGTCGTGGATGTTATAATTATGGTCGTGGTTGTTATAATTTTGGTCGTGGTTGCTATAATCATAGTCGTGGTTGTTATAATCTTGGTCGTGGTTGTTATAATCATGGTCGTGATTGTTTTAATCTTGGTCGTGGATGTTATAATCATGGTCGTGGTTGTTATAATTTTGGTCGTGGTTGCTATAATCATAGTCGTGGTTGTTATAATCATGGTCGTGGTTGTTATAATCATGGTAGTGATTGTTATAATCATAGAAGTGGTTGTTTTAATCTTGGTCGTGGTTGTTATAATCATGGTCATGGTTGTTATAATCATGGTCGTGGTTGTTTAATCATGGTCGTGGTTGTTATAATCATAGTCGTGGTTGTTTAATCTTGGTCGTGGATGTTATGATCATGGTCGTGGATTTTATAATCATAGAGTCGTGGTTGTTATGATCACGGTCGTGGTTGTTATAATCATGGTCGTGGTTGTTATAATCATGGTCGTGGTTGTTATAATCATGGTCTTGGTTGTTATAATCATAGTCATGGTTGTTTTAATCTTGGTCGTGGTTATAATCATAGTCGTGGTTGTTTTAATCTTGGTCGTGGTTGTTATAATCATGGTCGTGGTTGTTATAACTTGGTCGTGGTTGTTTTAATCTTGGTCGTGGTTGTTATAACTTGGTCGTGGTTGTTTTAATCTTGGTCGTGGTTGTTATAATCATGGTTGTGGTTGTTATAATCATGGTCGTGGTTGTTATAATCATGGTCGTGGTTGTTATAATCATGGTCGGGGTTGTTATAATCATAGTCGTGGTTGATTTAATCTTAGTCGTGGTTGTTATAATCATGGTCATGGTTGTTATAATCATGGTCATGGTTGTTTTAATCATGGTCGTGGTTGTTATAATCATAGTCGTGGTTGTTTTAATCTTGGTCGTGGTTGTTATAATCATGGTCGTGGTTGTTATTACTTGGTCGTGGTTGTTTTAATCTTGGTCGTGGTTTTTATAATCATGGTCGTGGTTGTTATAATCTTGGTCGTGGTTGTTATAATCATGGTCGTGGTTGTTATAATGAGGGTCATGGTTGTTTTAATCATGGTCGTGGTTGTTATAATCATAGTCGTGGTTGTTTTAATCTTGGTCGTGGATGTTATAATCATGGTCGTGGTTGTTTTAATCTTGGTCGTGGTTGTTATAATCATGGTCGTGGTTGTTATAATCATGGTCGTGGTTGTTATAATCATAGTCGTGGTTGTTTTAATCTTGGTCGTTGTTGTTATAATCATGATCCTGGTTGTTATAATCATAGTCGTGGTTGTTTTAATCTTGGTCGTGGTTTTTATAATCATGATCCTGGTTGTTATAATCATAGTCGTGGTTGTTTTAATCCTGGTCGTGGTTGTTATAATCATGGTCGTGGTTATTATAATCATGGTCGTGGTTGTTATAACCTGGTCGTGGTTGTTTTAATCATGGTCGCGGTTGTTATAATCATGGTCGTGGTTGTTATAATCATGGTCGTGGTTGTTATAATCATGGTTGTGGTTGTTATAATCATGGTCGTGGTTGTTATAATCATGGTTGTGGTTCTTATAATCATGATAATCATGGTCGTGGTTGTTATAATCATGGTCGTGGTCGTTATATCATGGTAATGGTTGTCATAATCATAGTCGTGGTTATTATAATCATGGTCGTGGTTGTTATAATCATGGTCGTGGTTGTTATAATCATGGTCGTGGTTGTTATAATCATGGTCGTAGTTATTTATGATCATGGTCGTGGTTGTTATAATCATGGTCGTGGTTGTTATAATCATGGTCGTGGTTGTTATAATCATGGTCGTGGTTATGAACATAGTCGCGGTTGTTATAATCATGGTTGTGCTTGTTATAATCATGGTCGTACTTGTTATAATCATAGTCGTAGTTGTTATGATCATGATCGTGGTTGTTATAATCATGGTAGTGGTTGTTAAAATCATAGTCGTGGTTGTTATAATCATGGTAGTGGTTGTTATAATCATAGTCGTGGTTGTTATAATCATAGTCGTGGTTATTATAATCATGGTCGTGGTTGTTATAATCATGGTCATGGTTATGATCATAGTCGCGGTTGTTATAATCATGGTTGTGCTTGTTATAATCATGGTCGTGGTTATTAAAATCATGGTCGTGGTTGTTATAATCATGGTCGTGGTTGTTATAATCATGGTCGTGGTTGTTATAATCATAGTCGTGGTTGTTATAATCATGGTCGTGGTTGTTATAATCATAGTCGTGGTTGTTATAATCATGGTCGTGGTTGTTATAATCATGGTCGTGGTTGTTATAATCATAGTCGTGGTTGTTATAATCATGGTCGTGGTTGCTATAATCATGGTCGTGGTTGTTATAATCATGGTCGTGGTTGTTATAATCATAGTCGTGGTTGTTATTATCATGGTCGTGGTTGTTATAATCATAGTCGTGGTTGTTATAATCATGGTCGTTGTTGTTATAATCATAGTCGTGGTTGTTATAATCATGGTCGTGGGTGATATTATCATAGTCGTGGTTGTTATAATCATGGTCGTGGTTCAGAAATAGGGTGGTGGATGAGTGGAACAAGCTTAGCAACTTTGTAATTTGTGCGGGAACTCTGGAAAGTTTCAAAAGGAGGCTAGATAGATTTATGGATGATAGAGAGTGGTAGTAACTCTCGACAGGAGCTGCCATGCACAGGCCAACCGGCCTATTGCAGACTCCTTATTTTCTTATGTTCTTATGTTCTTATGTAATGTCTTTGACCTTTGTCAAAGAAGAATGGAGCGAGTTGAAGGAAGAGTTTGACGGCCATATTATTAAATAACATCTTCCCTTGAAGAAAATCTTCATGTCGAAAGCCGTATGTATTGTCGCGAAGCAGAACCAGAAAGCGCACGAATGAGTGTGTGGTATGAAAACGAACTACACTAGTATCAATTTTTGAAAGGAGGGTGCTAGAGCCGCTTTTTCGTCACCTCTTCATAATTATTTTGTTAGGTTTATTGAAATATTTATGTCAATACGATTAATGTACAAAGAAACACGCTCAAAATTTTACAAATGTATTTTTAAATTATTAGTTTTACGGCCCATATTATGACAGTGGAAAGTTGTGTCCCCTGTTATATTACGACTTTCGTAAAAGCTAAAGGCTCTGTCAATTTGTTAGTGCCAAAGGCAGTTGCTGGAGTCATCCATCTTACTAACGCTAGTATTAATCTGGTAAGCACATTTACGGTAATTTATTAAACTTTTTAGCAGTCTTATATGAGTTTCTAATAGAAACTATAAACTAGGTGATTACTTTTGCCTAGAAATTTTCCAATGGATAGAGGCAAATTTCACTGGAGAAAATCATCTCAAAACTTTATGTTGGCGGCATTAATAAAGTAAGTCCATTGCTACTTAATGCAACTTTTTTATAGTTTATAAGTGAGCTTATTTGAAAATATAAACCAGCGTCGTTCTCAGTTTATAAATTTTAATATGGATAGTGGCGAATTTCACTGTGAGAAAATAGTGTCCAAACTTTATGTTGTACAAGAATAAATTAAGTCCATTTAAGTTGGCTTTCATCATACTTTTAGTAGCTTATATGAGTTTCTATCTTATATAAACACGGAGGTTTATGCCTCATAAATATCAAAATGGGTAGAGGGAAATTTCTCATCGGGGAGGGCATGATCACAAGGATGATAATATTAAGGCCAAAAATTCTTCTATACAGTGGACTGTGATATAATATGTGAAATACGACTGCAGGCTCTTAGTTTTTTCATCACCAATTACAGTATTTCGTTTGGTAAACTTCCATTTGGCAGAATTAGACATAATAAAACAAGTCTATTGGAAGCTGGAGTTTGATTATTTAATGAAAATAAAAGTCATTATTAATATGATACAATATTTGGCTAATATAGAGGACTTCACAGCAGCTTCCCCTGTCTCAGTAATATTAAGTCTTCCCACGGCAAGG